TTCCAAACCCCCCCTAAACCCTAGGTAAACCCCCTAGCTCCCGAAGGAAGCCCCGAGGCTCCCGGAGTCCCAAGAAAAAGGGTCTTTCGGTTCGGAAACGCTGCTCCAAGCAAAGCCCGGTTTTCTTTAAAATTCGCTGTAAGTGAGCTACGCCTATGAAAATTTTAATATAGCTTTTAAATAATTATAGTAATGTTATTAGGTCCTTAAAATAATTATTTTGGGCTATTATTATGAGTTATATAGAGTGTTGTTTAACGCTTATATAATAATAATAATAGCTAGACTATTAATTAGTCGCGGTTAACGTTAGACTAAACCCTAGTGGTATTGATACTAGGTTTTGTCGAGGGAAACTTATTTTGAGATAGCGAAGCGCTGTTCGAGTGCAGAGTCACCACCTTTCAGGTGAGTGCATAGTTACTTTTAGCTTACACATAGATATGAAGTATTTTATATAAATTATGTGCTGTGTGTGCATATTATCTGTATACTTGCTATGTATGCTGGATGAACGATTTTATACATGTTTTAAATGATTTAAACTGTATATGTATTTTATATCTACAAAATGTGTTGGGTAAAACATGGGTAGATGTAATAGTTGCTGTGTGACAAAATAAAATAATGAGAGGCCTCGTTATAGATGTTATTGATGATCCAGTCATCTAGCGGAGTATAGATAACGACCACGGACTATTCTAGACAGTCCAGTGGAACGCTAGCAGACTCGCAACCTGTAGGTGTTTATTTGAACTGTGTGTTTACCAGCAGTACTCCATCCCCCACATGTTTGCCTTATTTGACATGAATTGCTGAGGAACCCCCGAAGCATGTGTTGTCACCCCGATGAAAGTCCTTAGACTAGGTCCCTTGTGTTAGATGTTTTAGGGACGTAAAATGAGGATAACGGGAACGGGTAATCGGGTTTGCTTGGTTTGATAAAGTTAATAAACTTATTTATTGTGGGTTGAAAACCCTATGTGCTCACCAGGCTCCCAAGCCTGACCCACTCAGTTTCTTGTATTACAGGTAGTGGCGCATGAGCATAGATGTTTGGATGAGAGATAAAGGATTATAGGCCTGTAAATACGAAATAATGTAGTAAGGCTTATGTTGTACTGTTTATGATTTTGATCTGTATCGAACATGACATCCCGAGTCTTTTAATGAAATACATTTCCTTGGAAATGCTTTTGATAAATCTTTATCATATTTTGTTTTGGGACAAATTCCGCAACACTTTTATTTAAAATGTTACTCTGATTTTCAAACAAGCATAAACAAAACCGGTCTTTTCTGGCCGTGAAAATGGGGATGTCACAGATACGGGCCCCGCCCACACTCACTAGTCATGAAAATACATACAAGCTCTAAACGAACAACAAATATTACTAGCATATAAATATGTACCATATCAGCTATCTATGAGATACAGGCCTCGTCCACACTCAGCTACTATGAGATACGGGCCCCGCCCACACTCGCATTCCTAACAACATATACAAGCATCACACACACAACAAGTATAGCAATCCAATAATCTGACTGATATCTATACTCAGATAATAATGAGATACGGGCCCCGCCCACACTCAGCTACTAACACATATCATGTGCGGGCCGACCTTGGTGCCTTAGACCCGTTCCTACTGGAAGAGGACTCACCTCACACTGCTGAAGTCCTGCTGACAAAACCCTAGCTGCTGGATGACAGATTCCCGAATCTGTCAATCATCAAAATAACACCCAATTAATGATCGGGTTCCAACACTTATCCATATATCCATGCTTGGGGTAAAAGACTACCTTACCCCTGACTTAGCTTGACTCCAGCCCAAGGCCCAATCCAAAGGCCCAAAAAGTCTAATAATGAACCAAGGCCTAACTATGGCCCAATTTTCCAAATTGGGCCCAAACCTCTACATGGTATTGCCTTAAGGCCCAATCATTTATTCTTGGTCCAACTCTTAGCATTCTAAGGGCCCAATACCATATAATCATCAAGGTCCCATCTATGGCCCAATTTTCCAAATTGGGCCCAAACCCTCATATGGGCCTTACCCTAAAGCCCATCTAAATGTTCTAGTCCATAAGATTATTCTTGGATGGCCCATATTGGCCCAATTACCAAAGCCCAATAGGAAAGCCCAACTCAAGGTCCAAGTGAAATTAGTGTTTTACATAAAATGACGATTAGGGTTAAGTGTTTCTCACTTAACCCATTAAGGACTTAATCCATTAAGTCCTTTACTCTACTAGATAAATGATATGGAATAATTTGGGCTTAATACACAATTCAATCCTAATGGCCCAAAGGTGGGTCCCAATAAGTCCAAGGCCCAAATACTCACAATTAGGGTTTTCTAAACCCTAATTAGGGTTTCCCCCCAAACATGGCCCAATAGGCCCAAATTAATCTTTAAGCCCATTAGGGTTTTGCTAGGTCCATTAGGGTTTTGCTAGTGGGGCACCACCCACTACCACCTCGGGTAGTGGTGGTCAATGGCGGCTCACGGCGGCGGCCACCACCTTACGGTGGTGGTTCTTATTATTTTTTTCATTATTCAATGCTAATTACAGTCACAAGGCTTTTATCCAAAATAACACACACACACACACTCACTAACACACACACACACACACTGACTAACATAATACACACACAACCACCCTAGTGGTGGCCGGTGGTGGTAGAGGGTGGCAGCCACCACCTCACGGTGGTGGTGGTGGCTGTTCTCATTTTTCCGGTTATACAAAACACACGCACCAACATAAATGTACACACACACTATATGGTCACCAAACGACCCCAGCCACCCACCTGGTGGCGCAAGGCGGCGACAGAAGCTGCATAACGGAAATGCAGCAACGACAGCCACCACCTCACGGTGATGGCGGCGATTCCCTCGATTCCCAGCCGAGCAAACCCCTGCACACGCTTCGTGGTCACGATCTGAAGAGCGAAACGTCCCCAACTCAGCGGCTACGGTTGGCAAGCGATGACCGGAAACCCAGCAGCGGCGGCCAAAGCCCACCATCGGTTCCCGTCGACGTACACGACGTCAGGCCACAGAAGAACGAGGAAGAAGGTGTAGGCGGTGGTCCTTCCGCGGCAGTTCCCGACTTCACCGACAGTGAAATCGTAGCGGCAGTGCTCGAAATCGGCTGGCAGCGGTGGCAGCAGCTTCGCTCGTCTAACTCCTCACAGCCCCGTCACCAAAACCTTGACTCATTGAATTCTCTCTCTCTCTCGCCGATAGAACACATGGTGGAAGTCCGGTGGTGCTAGGCGGTCGGAAACGAGCGAGGTGGATGGTGGCGCCGGAGACGGAAAGAAGAGTGGGGCGGCTGCATTCCAACTCCTAGGGTTAGGATTTCTAATATACCAAATATATATGGAGGCTGCATGAGGCGCACCCGAGTCCCTCCAAACTTCTGCCCATTTTTACGAGTTCAGCCCCTCCTTCATTAAAGCTTTTCAACTTTAATCTAATATTTACTCTTTTGCCCCCGAGCCTCTAAAATCTTTTCAAAAGAAGTCCCATTAATTACCATTTAGACCTGCCGTCATAAATACTTACAAAACTAATCTGGAACTTACACTTTTAACCCCCAACTTCTAAAATTCTTCGCAATTTAGGCCGGGACTTACATTTATTAATTTATTTAAATAAACGGGGCGTTACATAACATGTTTTTAACCATTATTAGTTTTTGTTGTATTTGTGATAGGAATGGCCGGAAGAATGCGTTGAAGACCTAATAGGAATAACTTGAAGAATGAATAAAGTTTGATCATACTCACAATTTAAGAATGTTGTTATTTTTGAAAAAATTTATTCATTTTTGTTGATATTCTTCTAGAATATATGTACAATTATATTAAAATGTATAAGGCTTTTAGTCTGTAATAATATGTATGAATTTGTATTTAAGTTCAGATGTATAATAATATATTAGAATGTTGTTATTTTTCAACCTCAAATTCAAGAATTTTGTTATTCTTCAATAATATTCTAATAAAATAAAATTCTGAAAGAACATCATTCTAACAAAAAAATATTCTGACAGAATAAAAACGGTTATGTTTACAAATTACGTTAGATTTAAATTGAATTAATTAAAAAAATTCAGATTTTTAAAATTAGGAGAATTAATTATCCCTAAAAATCCGAAAATTTCATTTTATAAATGTAGTTAATTGTCCAAAATACAATTTTGCTAAAAATTGTGGGATTATATGGTACAAGTTATCCCATTGTAATATCATACACTCTCAAATCATGTTCATTGATTAATTCCATCCATTGGTCCAGATCTGTGCATTCTGGCATACAATAGTTAGTAAATTCAAAATAACCTAAACCTATATATATATATATATATATATATATATATATATATATATATATATATATATATAATCGAGAAAGAATGAGAAATGACTATAAGTTATTATGGGGATTGTAGGTGCAAAATCCATTTTTAGCATGTAAAACTTGGGAAAATCTTAGAAAAACCCAACATATTTTTATGAAATACTTAAAAAACCATTATATTATTTTTAGTGCACTAAAACCCTTATATATTCTCAAAGGGTTATTTAAATCTTTTTGACCTTAGAAAAAACCCAATCTATTTTCATCTAAGCATTACAAAAACCAATATATTATTTTTTTTAGCACATCAAAACCCTTATATTTTTTGAAAATTTTTAATCTCATGGATTGTAACCATCAAACCGTTGAGAATCGATTACCTAACATTTTTTGCTATCTAGGGTTTACTGAACTCAAACCCTTAAATTAGACATTTTAAAAAATATAAGGGTTTTAACATACAAAAAAATAATATAATTTTTTAAATATTTAATGAAAATATGTTGGGTTTTTCTAAGGTTTTCCCGTAAAACTTTGTAACTTTTTCTAGCTTTTTGCTAGTATTTTTAATCTTACTTCTTTGGTTCAAAGCAAGGTTATTCACTTATTTGACAAATTATGAAATTTAAGGTTTGGTGGCGAAAATGTAAAATATATAAGCGTGGTGACTAAATGTTGATTGAAACTCCAAAACGTGAGTGCATATTTAAAGAAAGTATAACTTCCATTTTCTCATTATTTTAACTCCCTCGTTGACCGGTCTACAGAATATAGAGAGGAGTGTTAAACGGTGGAGAAACTCAAAATCTCAAATCGATCCAAGTTGAAAGCATAAATTAGATTTCCTATGAAATTTGAAGTATAAGCTTGCAAAGTTAAGTTGTTTGCAAAGAAAAAGCTTAGAAAGGGTGTCTGCTAGAGTTTGGTGTTGCTGCGAATTTGAGGTACGTTCCTTAAACCGGTAAATTGATGAGGTATAAGTTATCAATAAATAAATTGAAGTGTTAATGAAATCGTATACGAGTTATTGACTAAATTTTATAAGCGAGTTAAGAAAATGTCGATGTGGAATGTCAGACACGTATTTTGACCTAAGTCAGAGGTGGGTTTTTGAATTGGAATAGTTATATGATTATAATAAAAAATTTGGAAGCTAATAGATTTTTGTGTATGCTGTAAACATTAAACGAATGAAATTAAAAGGAAACGAGTGTAATGATGTGTATATGTGTTGTGGATACAAAAAATTAATAATCGAACAGGGGGATGGGGACATTTAAACATTTTTATTGAGAGGGGATTGGTCCCGGATGTGTGCTGCTTGGCACTAGTTAAAATTTGTGTATTGCTATAATTAAGCACCAAGTATTTGGGAAATTCATGATTAGTAAACAACATTATAATTAGATCAAAGATATCTAGATTCTTAAATGAACGATCTTCTTCATTAAATTCAGAATTTCAGATTTTGAGTATGTCGTGGGAAAGCAAGGTGCTTTGGTGATAAAAAAAATGATCAAAGTGATCCTGAGCTGTTTACCTTGTTAAAATTTGGGTACGATTTTCAAGGAGGGGAAAATTGTAATCCCTGAAATTTTGTAATACTAATTATTTAAATACGACCTAAGGTGATATCAGATGAAATCCGTATTTTAATGTATGGAAGGGCAAGTCAAATAGTGGTATTTATGTATTTGGAGTAAAGGATGAATATTGAGGGTATATATAAGTTATTTGGCAACTAGCAAAAGTGATGAAACAAATTTTGGGGTGAGAATGTACAATGTAGAAGTGGGGTGGTGTTGAAACTCCAAAACTTGAATAAATATATAAGCGAATCATAATTACTTTTTCATTAATTTTCACTTTGTGGTTAACCGATCTCAAATCGATCCAAATTGATTGCAAAGTAAAGAGTTTAAAAAGGGAGTGTGCTAAAGTTTGGTGTTGCTAGGAAGTTTCATCTACATCTTTTAAGAAAATTCTTAATGTAGAATTAAGGGCAAAACATTAGTTTGTATGATGTGATTGTGTAAAAACTAACATACATCACCTGAATCAATCCATGCCTATCTTTTGAACTGTAACTTGTATTATATTTTCAAAGCAGTTTTTAAGACAAAAAATGAAAAAAAAAGGTAAGGGCTAGTTATGAGATCTTTTTTGCATTATAATAAGTTTGTGCAGTTATGAGTTTTTGAATGGGTTTTTCTACATGAAACAGGACTCGCATCTCCCTATATATTTCAGTTCATTAAGGTGCACAAAAATCACATATATTCTATCTAAACAAGTCAACATGTCCATGGCATCTTCATCATCATCTCCTTCTGTTCCGGCCTTTCCTTCTCAATCCTGGAAGTACCATGTTTTTCTTAGTTTTAGAGGAGAAGATACTCGTAAGACTTTTGTGGATCATCTCTACACAACTCTCCTACAACAAGGGATCTACACGTACAAAGATGATGAAACACTTCCTCGGGGAGACTCAATAGGTCCATCTCTTATCACGGCTATTGAAGAATCACAGATTGCTGTCATCGTATTCTCTAAAAACTATGCAGATTCTTCATGGTGCTTAGATGAACTTGTACATATCATTAAATGCAAGGATGCGAGAGGCCAAATCGTGATGCCCATATTTTATAACGTTGATCCTTCCGAAGTTCGAAAACAAAAACGCAAATACGGAGAAGCATTTGCGAAACATGAGTTGGAGAACAAGGCCAAGGTTGAATCTTGGAGAAAAGCACTTGTGGATGCAAGTAACATTTCTGGATGGGAAACCGAGCACGTTGCCAATGGGTAGTTTTCTTTGTTATTTGTGCACTTTTATGCTTAAGATATGATGCTAACTTGATGATAAAATACATGTTTTTAGAGAAGACTTGTCATGTACAACGATGCAAATAGTTATACTTGTGCTATGCAATAATCTAATAACAATTTCTCTATTTTAGAATAAAATCAACAAGTATGATATGAAAGAGTTTTATTAGCTATTTTGAAAACATAACTGGTAGTACCTAGTTAAGAATGAAGATGCATGATAAAAAAATAGGCTTTCATAGGATTTAATAATCACTACTACGAGACATTAACATATGCTAAGAACCTCACATGGTAGAATTCTATAGGGTAGTAGTTTATGATAAGGCTATTTGTCAATGTGAGCATGTGTTAATGATCCTTATATATTCAATTTGCAGGCATGAGTCGAAGTGTATTAAAAAAATTGTTGACACAATTTCACATAGGGTGCATCCAATAACTTCAACTTTGGATGACAACCTTGTCGGAGTAGAGGCTCGTATGCAACATTTGATACCAAAGTTACAGATTGGTCTTGGCGGTAAGAGGATGATTGGAATATGGGGGGTCGGGGGCAGTGGTAAGACTACTCTTGCCTCTTCTATTTATGATGAAATCTTTAGCAAGTTTGATGGTTGCTGCTTTCTAAAAAATATTCGGGAGGAATCAAGTAATAAAGAGGGTTTGGAAAGATTGCAAGAAAAGATTCTTTGTAATGTTTTGAAACAAAAGAAACTGCATGTAGAGAGAGTTGAAGAAGGAAGGCGCATGATAAAAGATAGGTTACACCATAGAAAGGTGTTGATTGTCCTTGATGATGTCGACAACCTTGAGCACCTGGAAGAGTTAGTTGGATCACGTGACTGGTTTGGTGAAGGAAGCCGAATAATAATCACAACTAGAGATGAACATGTATTAACCGGACATAAAGTAGATGTGATACACAAAATTAGTTTGTTAAACAACGATGAGTCTATGAAGCTCTTTTACAAGCATGCACCTTGTGGTCACAAACCTGTAGAAGATTATGAGCTTCTTTCAAAAAATGTGGTTTCTTATGCTGGTGGGCTCCCTTTAGCACTTAGAGTTCTCGGTCGTTTTCTATGTGACAAAGAGATGAATGAGTGGAGGAGTGCCTTGGATAGATTGAAAGAAATTCCAGATGCTAATATCTTGGAAAAGCTAAAAATCAGTTTTGATGGACTTAAGACTGTGGAGAAACAGCTGTTCCTTGATATTGCATGTTTCTTCAGAGGGCGGTATAAAGAGGAAGAAGAGATAATGATGATACTCGATGCTTGCGGATATCACCCTGTTATCGGCATAAAAGTTTTGGTACAAAAGGCTCTCATAAGTATTACAGAATATGGAAAGTTTGAATTGCATGATTTGGTAGAAGAAATGGCACACTACATTGTTAGAGGGGAACAATCTAACAATCCTGACATGCATAGTAGAATCTGGAAGGGGGAAGATGTTCTAAACATATGTGCTATGGATGCAACAACGGTAATGCTTTTCATGATATAAATATGTGTTAGAATTTTGGGGTCTTAAGAATATCAATATACTTGGATATTTCTTGGATCGTGATTGCAATCACTTTCCAAAATCTGTAATTTCGACCCTATAGACTAGATTTGGGATAATCCAAAGAATTTCAATTTAGAAATCCGGCCACTTCTAAATCAGAAACACAAAATATACCTTGCTGTTTTTGTGTTATTTAGAGATACAACAAATCAATATATGATTTTCGTGTATATAAGTTCCAACCCTTTTTCTGGAACCAGAGCAAAGTTCTTATACTAGAGGGAAAAGTTGCCTCCTTTTCGACCCTATAGCGGAACCACCGTCAGGGGCTCTGCCCCTTGGACCCCACTAGGTGCGCTGCCCCTAGACCCTGCCAAGGGGTTGGAGCCCCTTGGAACCCTGCACCCAGGGGCGCTGCCTCCAGACCCTTGTATTCCCGAGTTCACATTTATTACACCGAGTGTGCACCCCACACCTCCAAGCTCGGCTAGGAAATGAAGCTCGGCCTATCTCATTATTAATAATAATTACACCAAAATATGTTAGATAACACTAAAATCACCAACAAATATGTTTAAAAAAACACTTCTAACTCAACCACCCTGACATCATTTTGCTCCTCAATCCCAGAACCTTGACAAGGTTGAAGCTATACATGTTGAGCTTTCCAAGAGTCACGAACAACAACGAGTTCTTCAGGTCGCTGCAAACATGAAGAAACTACGGTGGATTGATTTGAACCTTTATCTGGCAAAAGCTGAATTGGTTATAATGCCAGAAAATTTTCCAGCAAGGGAGCTTTGTTGTGTAACATTGAGGTGGCTCAAAGCAAAACAACTTTGGGAGGGTTGCAAGGTAATTCTTATTGTTTAATGGATGAAAGAAAATTCTATGACTAAATTTATAATTTAAGTTGCTAAGAAGCACATGTGTACATAAAAGGGTAGATTTTAATGTATCTCAGTGATCATAAAATGAAAGGCTCTTATTAGAACCAATATATCATATATTAAAAGTATATTGTTTTTGTTTATATTTATGAAGCAAGTATTGATGATTTTATTATCACCATTACTTGTTTTTATAATTCACATTTTGTAAGATTCCGATTTTGTATGACAATTTTGTTTTCATAAAAAATTGATTACTTTCAGTTTTGATGGTTTCTGACCATCAATTGTTTTAAGACATATGTGGTTTTATATAGAAAATCTTTTTTAAACCAATCATGCTTACAAACATTATAGAATATAACATGGTTCGTCATATTTTTTTGGAAATGAATGCATATATATATATATATATATATATATATATATATATATATATATATATATATATATATATATACTATACCCATTTTCTATGAAGTGTTGGCAAACTTTTGTCTTATGTGCACTTGTGTATGCAGTTTCTACCAAACTTGAGAATGATCAAACTTGATTACTTGACGAACCTAATAATGACACCAGATTTTGACGGGCTCCCTAACCTTGAAAGATTCATAGTTGAAGGATCTTCTTGTTTAGAAGAGATTCATCCATCATTTGGACATTTGGAAAAGCTTGTTTACGTGGCTATACGTTTGTGTTCGAGTCTTAAGATGGTTCCACACATTACCCGGTCAAAGAGACTGGAGACTCTTGTACTCTCAAACTGCGGTTCATTCAATAATTTTCTACCTCACAACGTGAACCACATAGGGGTATGGTTTTTTAGTGGATGCTTAAGAAAGCTGGATCTCAGCTTTTGCAAGTTGGGAGATGGAGACATAAGATCTGCTGCTGGTTGGGAGTTACCTAACTTGAAAGAACTCAATCTAATAGGAAATCGTTTTGTAAGGTTGGATTTTAGTCTCTTGCGACTTCCTCGGCTCAAATGGCTCGATGTGTCATACTGCAATGACCTTGTAAAATTGTCGGAGCTGCCACCAAGTATAGCTGTTGTTATAGCGGATTGGTGTGACTCACTTGAAAGCTTTGGATATATTTCTAACTGTAAATGGTTGTGGAAAGTCTCGCTTTTTCGGAAGAACAAACTCGGTCCACTTGGTGGTGACATTTTACTAAACTCCATGCTCCAGGTTTGGCTTTTGATTTTTCATTTTATATATATATATATATATATATATATATATATATATATATATATATATATATATATATATATATATATAAGAAGAATAAAGGTTGATCATATAATCAAATGTGGCTGTTTTGTGGCAGGGAAATGCCAAAGATTACTTTATCAGTATCAACCTTTCAAGCATTGACATTTGGGGTGGGCCATCTGCACTTTGGGTCGACTTGGTGAAGACTTATAATATGCCTCTTCCACATGATTGGTTCAATCACTTTTCTGGGATTTTGATGTTCTTCCAAAACAACAAGAAATTTGCTACCGTCCCTAACATAACCATCAAGCTGGGTGTACACAACATTGTTCAATGTGAGCTTGGTCAGAAGTCCAATGAAACACTCACAACTCATAATCCTGACACATATGCAGGATATGTTTCGTTTAGTTCATTGAGGCACACCGGATACAATTTCATTTCGTTTTCCTACGATGAGGATTTGTATGGAGATGGGCGTTGGTTTAGAGCTGTACTCATTCCTAGAGGTGGTCCGATGCAAACAACAAAAGTCACAACAGATTCTTCTGAATTTTGGGATGATAACAGAAAGACATTTATCGTAAATAATGATTCAAACTCCTCTATCAAGATTTTATGGAAAACATAAGTTGCTAAGCATATTTCCACCACCGGTTTTCCCCTCAACATAATCATTTGAGTCACCATAAAATGATCTGTTGTATCATTTTCCTTTCATGAATTGGTTGCTGCCAACCTAAGTTTATGCTAAGAGATATACTCAAGAGTCACTTTTGTCTCAAATTCTTAGTTGTTTGTTTATTGGTCATGGCTGTTTTTGTTAAAAAGGATTACATCCCAACTGATTGAATTGGAAAGTGTATGGTAAAATGTGTCGTTCTTATTAGATACATCTGAACCATGTTCGATCTTGAATACAAATTTGGTCATATGAAAATGTATGCGTCTGGCATGCATACATGTCATATGTATATGTACGTATGTTGACAAATTATTTGGTTGAAATAGAATATGTCATACATAGAATACGTGTTGTATGTATGTAATTTGGAACTTGAATGCAAAATTGGATGCATACATTTGTCATATATTTGTAAATTTGGTCAAATTGGAATGCAAAAAAAACATGTAATACATATAATGTCATATGCATATATGTATGCAAATGTATATGTATGATAAAAAATCACAATTGGAAATACTTAACAACCAACGTTGGAATAACAACATTTTTAACATTGGAAATAGACAAAAATAAAGTACAATGCCACTACAAGTATTAATATAATTTTGACATATCAACTACTAACCAACAAGAAACTAAAACAATAAAAATGAACAAAACAACCAACATTACTACACATAACCTAAGTAAATGCACCATCTCATACTTTGTGTCAAGTTGGAAGCCTTCAAGTTCATTTCACAAAGAAGTTCTGTGTAATAGTGATTTGATCAGTACACTTGAAAAAGTTTTAAGCTTTGTTTGAATATCGCAAATTGGTTTGACCCAAAAATCTTCACCATGTGCATGTTGTCGTGACATGATGAACTTAATTTGGGCCATATAATACCGATAATATTAAACTGATGCCCCTTTCTTTTTGCTGCCCTAGGCTACAACCCAACTCGCCCATGTATTGGGTTGGCCCTGTGTGTTATTATTTATTAACAATCTAGAAGTCATACACCTTAATTTAAAAACATCATCACATTAATGGACTTTATTTCCATATCCAAAGAAATCTAAAAAAAACGTGTTTTATTAAAGTGAATATCCTAATACCATGTGCGATGGATGGAAGTGATGGGTTGAGTTAATTGTTAGCTCATATGACCTATGGGGTGCGTGGGAGAAAATGGATGACAGGTACATATACATCAAGGTCTACGTCACATTTCACAACATATCTACGGTTAAACAAAACAATTATAAATAAACAATTTCAATTTGTTTAGTGTGAATCTAATCCTATATAAATTTTACCGAAATTACTACTTTTATTAACCCATACAACCCATATTAGCTTCATTGTTGGGTAGTTTCTTCTTCGTTTTGAGCTCATAATACTTTTTTGAAATGGATCATGTTGCTGGATCAATATGTACTGGCTAGTGCTGGATAGGCTAAGAAAGTTGACGATTTCCCTTCTCTTGCAACATTATCTAGTTGGACCCTTGGTAGATAACACAAACCTGATTTGGTGATTTGGGATGTAGGATGCTTGGCCCCGGGGAGCCCATATATAACTTGGGCTTTGAACTTTGAAATTTATATATAACTTGAAATGGCATAGTTTCTATTAAATGGAATGAGATTATAATTTAAGACTTTTAATATTTTGAGTAATTTAAGTGGGGGTGGGGGGTTATGTTTAATTTTAGCATGCTAATCAGATTTTATATTTGTTTGATATATGTGTTTGGAGCTATATTTCAAACAACAAGTAACATACTAATTTTTAAGTAGACAACTAAACAAGCTAACCTGATACAATGCAGTTTGACGACACAATAAATTGAACGAATGGTGAACAACCAAAAACGGCTACCAGAAGATCACAAGAGGCCATTAAATTGCTAAAATACTATACGGAACCGCAACCAAAATAAAACCCATAACCGCAACCAACCGAAGATCATCTTCCAATCAAACATCACGTTGGAAAACAAAGGCTTCCTAGAGGTTGTTATTCCCAAATATGGCTCCATTAGGCGCATCATGTAGCCTAGAAACGTGATCCTTGCAACAAATCAACAAAAATCCTCTTAAATTGTAGTATAAGATATAGATAAATGACATATTACAAAGATAAGAATCTAAATGCTCAACAAGTGGTTATGTTTGCGTTTGCATTTATCTAGACAAAATCAAAAGATAAAACTTAAATGTATGTCTTTAAAGTGTCATAATTTTAATGTAGGGCTGTTTTTTTAATAAGAGACTCATGATTTACAAACGGTAAACCTTTACCAAGGGTTACCGATAATTTTAACAAAATTAAGGTAAAAATTGTGTAAGATTTTTATCAAAATGTTTTATAATAATTAAGATGCTCATAGTAGTGTGTTCTCTTATGTATTTTGCCTTTATAGTTGATATACTCGTTGTAGCTTGTAGGGGTATAAAAACATTAGTATAATTATTTGTCGAATTAACAAAAGTGGTGAATATAATTTTGAGAAATGTTATAAAACTTTTTAGGGTTTTGGAGGTGAAAATGTAAAATATAGAAGTCTGGTGGCTAATGTTGAAACTCCAATACCTGAGTAAATATATAAACGAATTACAATTACTTTCTCATTATTTTCGCTCCTAGTAAAGAATTGAGAGAGGAGGAGGAAAGTATCCACGTTGACTTAAATCGCTCCAAGTTGAAAGAAAGAAATTAAGGAAGAAATTGAAGTATAAGCTTACATAAGTAAGTCGATTGCAAATTAAATAGCTTAGAAAGGGAGTCTCTTACAGTTTGGTGTTGCTGGAAATTTGAGGTACGTTCCTCAAACTGATAAATTGATAAAGTATAAGTTATCAATAAAGAAATTGAATTGTTAATGAAGATTTATACCAGTTAGTGAGTAAATTTTATGAATAAGCTAAGAAATTGTCGATCTGGTATGTGAGAAACGCATTTTGACCAACTTTAGTCAAAGTTGTGAACTTTTTGAATTAGTATAGTTAGATGAGTAACGAATGAAATTAGAATGATGTGTATACGTGTTGTGGATACAAAAAGAGAATCGAATAGGGGGGGCGAGGACTTTAAATGATGCTTTGAAAGGGGATTTGTCCACTGTGTGCGCTGCTGTGTTTATTGAGAATCTAAGTATGATTGGCACTATTTAAATTCATATATTGCTACGCTAAAGCACCAAGTACTTGGGAAATTCATGATAAGTACATAACATTATAATCAGATCAAAGGTATTATTTTAATGTATGGAGGGGTTCTTCAGACAGTGGTATTTATGTGTTTGGAATAAATGCTGAATTTTGGGGGTTTAAATTATGTGACAATGTAGAAGTGTGGTGGCTAAATGTTGAAACTCCAAAATTTGGGTAAACATTGAGAGAGAAGAGTGAAGCGGCGGAGGAAAGGTAGCCACATACTCAAATGGATTCAAGTTAAAAGAAGAAATTAAGGAACAAATCCTAATTTTCCAAAAAGAAAGAACAAATCCTACGGAAATTCAACTATAGCTTTCACAGTTAAGTTAATTACAAAGTATACAGTTTAGAGAGGGAGTTTTGTACTTTTAAAGGAGATTTTATGATAAAAAATAAAAAACAATGTAAGAATTAGTTATGAGATTTTGTACATGATATAAACAGTTATTCAGTTATGAGTTCTGACGAGGTTTTTCTATATGATAACAGGTCATACCGGAGACTCGCATCTTTATATATATATATACATTCCATTTCAATAAGGTGCTCAAACAACATACATTCTATCTCAACAAGTCAACACATCGATGGCATCTTCGTCTTCATCTTCCTCTGCCCCCTTTTCTTCTCAGATGTGGAAGTTCCATGTTTTTCTTAGTTTTAGAGGAAAAGATACTCGTAAGACGTTTGTGGATCATCTCTACACAGCTCTTGAACAACAAGGGATCCACACTTACAAAGACGATGAAACACTTCCCCGGGGCGAATCAATTGGCCCATCTCTTGTGACGGCTATCGAAGAATCACAGATAGCCGTCATCATATTTTCTAAAAACTACGCAGATTCGTCATGGTGCTTAGATGAACTTGTACATATCATTAAATGCAAGGATACGAGAGGCCAAATCGTGATGCCCGTGTTTTATGATGTTGATCCTTCCGAAGTTCGAAAACAAAAACACAAATACAGGGAAGCATTTGTGAAACACGAGTTGGAGAACAAGACCAAGGTTGAATCATGGAGAAAAGCACTTGTGGATGCAAGTAACATTTCTGGATGGGAAACCGAGTATGTTGCCAACGGGTAATTTTCTTCTCTGTTTGTGCACTTTTTATGCTTAAGATGTGTGTGCTCTACTACACGACATCTATACTTATACCTAATAAGCTTTTAAAGGATAAACCCAAATTCTGGATGATAAAAATACATATTTTTGTAGAACATCTACTCATGGACAATGATGCAAATATTTATAGTTGTGCTATGCAATAATCCAATAACAATATATATATATATATATATATATATATATATATATATATATATATATTGTAGAAGGGATCCAAAAAGTATGATCTGAAGAAGTTCTCTTAGCTATTTTGAAAACACAACTAGTAGTACAAAGTTAAGAAGGAAGATGCATGATAATAAGTAGTCTGTCATACAAATATTTCAATTATTATTGAATCTTGATGAAGTTTCATGACCTTAATTAATGAAAAAAGGCTTTAACTAGATCACTTGATAAGAGCTGAATAATAATCAATACTACTGGAGATTAACAAACAAAGTGAACATTCTCTAGGGTAATAGTTTATGATGATCCTTGTATATTCAATTTGCAGGCACGAGTCAAAATGCATCAAAACAGTTGTTGACACAATTTCACATAGGTTGCATCCATTAACTTCAAGTGTGGATAACAACTTGATTGGAGTAGAGGTTCGCATGCAACATTTGATATCAAAGTTGCAGATTGTCTTTGGTGGCAAGAGGACGATTGGAATATGGGGGGTCGGGGGCGGCGGCAAGACTACTCTTGCCTCTTCTGTTTATGATGAAATATCTAGCAAGTTTGATGGCTGTTGCTTCATAAAAAATGTTAGGGAGGAATCATGTAATAAAGACGGTCTGGAAAGAT